TGTTTATTTTTTTTAGAGGGGTGGGGAGGGGCAAACAGAGGGGGACAGAGGATTCAAAGCAGGTTTGGTGTTGACAGCATAGAGCCTGATTTCAGGATTCGAATTCACAAACCATGATATCATTACCTGAACTGAAGTTGGACACTTAACCGGCTGAGCCACCCAGGAATCCTGAGAGAGAGGGGAGGGCGGGGGGAGAGAATGAATGAATGAATGAATGAATGAATCTTAAGCAGTCTCCATGCTCAGTCAGAGCCCAATGTGGGGCTTAATCCCAAGACCCTGGGATTATGACTCGAGCCAAAGCCAAGAGTTGGATGCTTAACTGACTGAGTCACCCAGGTGCCTCTCTCAAATGTAATTTTAGCAATCCCTGTCAAAATAACATCAGCATTCTTCACAGAGGTAGAACAAACAATCCTAAAATTTGTATAGAACCAGCAAAGACCCCAAATAGCCAAAGCAATCTTGAAAAAGAAAACCAAAGCTGGAGGCATCACAGTTCTGTACTTTAAGCTGTATGACAAAACTGTAATCATCAAGACAGTATAGTACTGGCACAAGAACAAACACATAGATCAAAGGAATAGAACAGAGAACCCAGAAATGGACCCACAAACATATGGCCAACTAATCTTTGACAAAGCAGGAAAGAATATCCAAAGGGAAAAAGACAGTCTCATCAACACATGGTGCTGGGAAAACTGGACAGCAACATGCAGAAGAATGAACCTGACTGCTTTCTTACACCGGACACAAAAATAAACTCAATGTATGAAAGACCTAAACATAACACAGGAAGCCATCAAAATCCTAGAGGAGAAAACAGGCAACAACTTCTTTGACTTTGGCTGCAGCAACTTCTTACCTGACATGTCTCCAAAGGCAAGAGAAACAAAAGCAAAAATTAACTGTTGGGACTTCATTAAGGTAAAAAGCTTCTGCACAGCAAAGGAAACAATCAGCAAAACTAAAAGGCAACTGACAGAATGGGAGAAGATATTTGCAAATGACATTGGAGAAAGGGTTAGTATCCAAAATTTATAAAGAACTTATTGAACTCAACACCCAAAAAACCAATAATCCAGTGAAGAAATGGGCAGAAGACATGAATAGACATTTATCCAAAGTCGACATCCGGATGGCTAACAGACACATGAAAAAATGCTCAACATCACGTATCATCAGGGAAATACAAATCAAAACCACAGTGAGATTCCACCTCACACCTGTCAGAATGGCTAAAATTAGCAACTCAGGCAATGACAGATGTTGGCAAGATTGCGGAGAAAGAGGAACCCTTTTGCAGTGCTGGTGGGAATGCAAACTGGTGCAGCCGCTCTGGAAAACAATTTGGAGATTCCTCAAAAAATTAAAAATAGAACTACCCTACAACCCAGCAATTGCACTACTAGGTATTTAACCAAACGACACAGGAGTGCTGATTTGAAGGGCACATGTACCCCAATGTTTATAGCAGCACTATCAACAATAGCCAAAGTATGGAAAGAGCCCAAATGTCCATCGACTGATGAATGGATAAAGAAGATGTGGTATATATACACAATGGATGATTACGTGGTGATCAAAAAGAATGGAATCTTGCCATTTGCAACAATGTGGATGGAACTAGAATGTGTAAGTCAGAGAAAGACAAATACCATATGATTTCATTCATATGTGGAATTTAAGATACAAAACAGATGAACATAAGGGAAGGGAAGCAAAAATAATATAAAAACAGAGGGGGAGACAAACCATAAGAGACTCTTGAATACAGAGAACAAATTGAGGGTTGCTGGTAGGGTGTTGGCTGGTGGGGGGAGAGCTAAATGGGTGAGGGGCATTAAGGAGGATGCTTGTTGGGATGAGCACTGGGTGTTAAATGTAAGTGATGAATCACTGAATTCTATTCCTGAAATTATTATTACACTACATGTTAACTAACTTGGATTTAAATTTAAAAAAATAATAAAAAAATTAAATGTCATTTAAAATGTTTGAATAATGCACCACTGAGTACAAAAGGAAATAACATTGATGGAGTACCTACCATGTCAGACACTGTGCAAAATAATCAGTATTTGTCTCATTTTATCCCCATAGTAGTACTATATGATAAGTGTTGTTATGCCCGTTTCATAGATGAGAAAATTGAGGCTTAGCTTAGTTTATTTCAGTTTAATAAACAGTAATTGAGCTTTACCACATTCTAGGTATGGTGCTGAGTTCTGGATATTCAAAGATAGGTGGGACATGGTCCCGTCTATAAGGAATTCAGAAAATGGTGGGAATCCAAATGATTAAGAGATAATTTCAGTACAATATGCTAAGTGGAGTGACATAGAAGAACAACTGACCTGGGGGTGCCTGGGTGGCTAGGTTGAGTAAGCATCTGACTCTTCATTTCAGCTCAGGTCATGATCTCACTGTTTGTGGGTTCAAGCCCCATATTGGGTTCTGCACTGACAGGATGGAGCCTGCCTGGGATTCTCTCTTTTCCTCTCTCTTTTCCCCTCCCCTGCTTGTGCTCATCCTCTGTCTCTCTCTCTCAAAATAATTTTTGGGGGAAAAAAAAAAAAAAGAACACCTAACTTGGATTAGGGTTGGTCAGAGCAGTTTTACTAGAGTAGTGCTTTCTCAAACTTTAATGTACATATGGAAGTACCTGGGTTCTTGTTAAAATGCAGATTTTGATTTTTGGGTCTTTGGTGGGGTCCAAGATTCTTCATTTCTAACAACCTAGGTGATGCTGATGCTGCTGTTCATACCTCACTTTGAATAGGAATATCCTAGACGACACAGAATTTGAACGAATACCATTTAGCTTGGTGCAGAAATGAGGAGAGGTATTCAAGACAGAGAGGACAGGGTGGGGAAAGGCATAGAAGCATAAACAAGTATGTTAAATGGGTAAACTTATAATCTATGACAGGTATTGGCAAACTATGGCTATGGCTCACTGCTGAATGTAGCCCGTAGCCTGTTTTTGTTCAGCCCATGTGCTAAGAAGAGTTTTTACATTTTTAAAGCATTGTAAAAAACAAACCCAAACAAAGAGTAACTTATAATAGAGATGCACAAAGCCTCAAATATTTACTACCTAACCCTTTACAGAAGAAGCTCGAGACCCCTGATCTGTGGTATTAGTGAAGTGTGTAAAATCTGCAGTGGGCATAGTGGAAGACATGTTAGAGATAGTAAATGGGAGGGAGGAATGGTGGTCACCAAGGGACACAGGAGAACTTGGCCTTTATCTTTGAGGTGATAGAGAACCAGGACAGGATTTAAAGAGGGAGGTGAGGGGTGCATGGGTGGCTCAGTTGATTAAGCATCCAGCACTTGGTTTCAGCTCATGTCGCGATCTCACGGTTCATGAGTTTGAGCCCTGCATTGGGTTCTTGCTGACAGCATGGAGCCTGCTTGGGATTCTGTCTCTCTCTCTCTCTGTCTCTCTGTCTCTCTCTGCTCCTCCCTTGCTCACTCTCTATCTCTCTTTCTCTCTTTCTCAAAAATAAATAAATAAACAAACATTAAAAAAATATAGAGAGAGGTGATAGGCTCAGGTTATGTTTTGAAAAAATTTCTCTGGCAGAATATAGATACAAGGGAACAATGCTGGAGGCAAGGATACCAACTGGGAGGCCTGAACAAGGTAGATGGAGTAGGAGGGGATGGGTTTGAGAATTGTCTGGGAAAAAGTTTTTCATTCTCTCTTGACTATAACCCATAGGAAGATATTACTTCATGACCAGCACACATAGACATACCCACAACACCAAACTAACCACAAAACATTTGTCTTTATTGTGAGTAAACTCAAATATTTTTATTCAATTAAAGAAGATGCTGGTGACTATGTAATAAGTTGATTTTATATTGGGTTATAACCTACAGTTTGAAAAGCACTGATCTGGGGAAGTGAAACAGTAGGATTTTATCACTGATTTGGAATAAAGGAATAGGGAACAAGGATTGGCCTGGGTGATTGGTGTTGTTCCCAACTGAAATCAATAATAGAAGGGAAAGCCATTTGGAAGGTAGAGGTGACGCATTCATTTTTGGATGTGTTGACTTTGATAGCATTGTAGGAAACCCAGGCTTTCCAGAAGATAGCAGTTTCTCATTCAGTGAGTATTATTGCCTGTTTTGTTTACCTGCTGTTATTTGAATAGCAATATTTTCTACTGTTCTACACAAAGGTATGTTTTTCAGGATTTCATAAGCTTTTTCAGCCCAGGGTAGGAATTTGGCCATTGTTTCCAACATTGTCAATGTTATAATGGGAGGAAGCATCATAAATTTCAAATAATTGGCTTACGTGGGAAATTTATAAATTGGGGACTAAGTTGTAAATACTAATTTGAGATGCTTATTTAATTAATACTTGCGTATTAATTCAGTAAGATCGATATTCTGATATATTTAAGTATTTATCCAACAGAGAGTAGTCAAACCACATCAATTAAGTGTATGTGTACAGTTTGCTTTAGTTCTGCTATAGTATACAAATATACTATACTATTAGAGGGTTATAAGTTTTTGATTCCTTCAAAAAATTTTTTTGTAATGTTTATTTTATTTTTGAGAGAGCAAGAGAGACAGAGCATGAGTGGGGGAGGGGCAGAGAGAGAGGGAGACACAGAATCTGAAGTAGGCTCCAGGCTCTGAGCTGTCAGCACGGAGCTCGACTTGGGGGTTCAAATTCAAGAACTGTGAGATCATGACTTGAGCCAAAGCTGGATGCTTAGCCAACTAAGCCACCCAGGTGCCCCTCAGTTTTTGGTCCTTATTCTATAAGGTTAATACAGGACTAGTGGCATTTTATCTATACCTTTCCTCTGATAATATCATGATTTTTTAAAGATATAATTTTGAAACTAAAAAGGAACATTTCCTAAGTTGACCTTATCAGTGTAAATAACATGGATACATACCTAAGTTTAAAAGTTACTATTTTTTTACTAGGAATTAATAATTAAAATTTTTTCTTTTTATAGATTGAATACCTGCTTAAGAAACTTACAGAAGCTATGGGAGGAGGTTGGCAACAGGAACAATTTGAACATTATAAAATCAATTTTGATGACAGTAAAGATGGTCTTTCTGTGTGGGAACTGATTGAACTTATTGGAAATGGACAGTTTAGCAAAGGCATGGATCGGCAGACAGTGTCCATGGCAATTAATGAAGTCTTTAATGAGCTTATATTAGATGTATTGAAACAGGTAAGAGTCCTGGAACACTGTGTTTCTCCTTACCTTTAGACTTTGACATGTTTGAAATAAGACATTTTCATTTGAGTATAAGTCATTTATACCTTTATACTGATTTAGAACAAGAATAAAGTTTCTTATTTTCGCAGTCTTGTATTAGGCTTAAAAAAAAATTACTGATACAATTTTGAAGTATACTTAAGCATTGGGAAGTTGCTATTTTGAAAGAATTGTTTAAATGACCACATTTCCAAACTATCTTTAAAGTACTTTCATGTCACGTGTACATCCATACTTGTTGATCTGAGAGATCCTCATGGCATGTTGTTCAGAGAAAAAAAAAACAGGTTGTTGAACAGGAAGTATATTGTAATCCCTTTCATGTAATGTGATATATATGTGTAGGGCTATCTGGAAGGATGCTCACCAAAATGTTAAAAGTGATTACTCCTGGATTGTGGGATTCCTGTAAATTTTATTTTATTCTTTATTCCTTTCTTGTTGATTGGATTTACTACTAGATTCTATACATGAATGTATGCATATGATTACATATTTTAATTTTTTTATTATTTTTTAAAGTTTATTTCTTTATTTTGAGAGAGAGAGAGAACCAGCTGGGTAGGGGCAGAGAGAGAGGGGGACAGAGGATCTGAAGTGGGCTCTGTACTGACAGCAGAGAGCCTGATGCAGGGCTCGAACTCACAAACTGTGGGATCATGACCCCAGCTGAAGTCAGACGCTTAGCCGACTGAGCCACCCCGACACCCCTATATATTTTTATAAAATTAGAAAAATACCCTTATTTTTGGAGTAAATACCTTTATATAGCAAAGTTGCATTTATCTTGTTAGATTATGACCTACATAGCATCTGATATAAATATGGAATGCTTAATGATTGTTAAATAGAATTTACATGTTTTTTTTTTTTAGCGGCTCTTTCATATTTTTTACATTATTATACTGAATAATAATTCCAATTTGGGATTTCCTTACTTTGGTCCTTTATTTGCTCAGTAGGTGAAGTTGTGTCTTTGCTCTTTTTCCCTAATTGAACCCATCAAGAAACATTAATTGAGGTTTCATTTGTATAGGTTTTTGGTGCTACAAAGAGGTGTGAGACATGGTCTGTGTCCAAAGAGGACTTCTAGGCCCACCAGGATGGCAGGATAATTGGACTACAGATGAATTTCAATATGAGATAGCTTTTGCTTAAATGTCCAAGGATGAGGAAGCTGAACAAGTAATATGATTAGAACTTGGTATAATACCCAAATGATACAGTCAAGCTAATATTATATAATGATAATGAATAGTCTGCTATAGGGTATCAGCACTTGTACATTTACTATTTAAAATTCATCTATTCTCAGACAACCCTGAAGGGCTTTGGCCTATAATTATAATTTTGCTGAAGTAAAAATGTGAGTTATATACCTTTGTGACTGATTTGTGGGAAGAAAGTATAGAAGTGCAAGTGTAGAAGCCAGAATCCTAACTACTTGGTCCAGTCCTTTTTCTTTCTGCTCATCTGGAGGAGTTCATCCTCCAGAATAGTGAGAGGTCAGGTAGGAAGGGTAGGTTGGTGCCAGAAGGTGATTGGTTGAAAGATATATTTGGCCAACTTTAATATTTTCATTGATTGAGGTTTTAGTTTGCTGAGAATCACTGTTAGGGTTGTGTGTGTGTGTGTGTGTGTGTGTGTGTGTGTGAATCAGAATAGACAGAATAGTATAATGAACCCCCATATACCATTCACCCAGCCCCAGTAACTACCAACACATAGTTAATCCTACCCTCCTACTTTTGCCTCTCCTGTATCTTGAAACAAATCCCAGATATTTCATTTTATCTATAAATATTTCAATAGGTATCCCTAAAAGATAAGGAATTCTAAAAAATCACAATGTTTTTAGCACCAGGAGTCCTAAGGCTACTCTCTGTATGTAGCATGGGGTGGAGTTAGAGGGGTTGTCTCTGCATGCCCAGAATTCTGTGTAAACTTTTGTGTGCATGTATTAGCATGAATTTGACTGGGTATAGTGCCCCTGGCCTTCATAGACCCTCAGTGGGTTCATGATCTCCAGAGGTCAAGAACCACTGATATTCATGTATTCAGGAAGATATCAGCTCTTATAAGAAAAAGAACAGGTATTTATATAAAATTTAATCTTTCATAGGGTTACATGATGAAAAAAGGCCATAGACGGAAAAACTGGACTGAACGCTGGTTTGTACTAAAACCCAACATAATTTCTTATTATGTGGGTGAAGATCTGAAAGATAAGAAGGGAGACATTCTCTTGGATGAAAACTGCTGTGTGGAGGTCAGTCTACTGTTACTTCTTTCTGTTGCTGCCCCCTGCTGCCCAAGTGTTTTATATTCCTTCTAGACTTTAGAGTCTTGAAAGAATCTTAAAATTTACATTTCTAAAATAACATAGGCATACAGTTGCCATAGTTTCTGAACCAAAAACCAGAGATAGCTGACAAAAGTTTTTTGTAATGTGAATTTATCTTCTATCTTATGGAAAAAGTATAGGGATTAAATCAGATTTGTTTGTACATTTAAGGAATCATTTATTGAATAAAATGGAGTGATAAAAAAGATTAACACAAAATTAACACAAAATTAACACAAAATTATTCAGTAAGACAGTGTTTGAAATCATGAATATACCATGACATCTGGGCCATTTTGAGCATAGTAAATAAAACTAATGAAAATGGGAGCATTACCTTTGAGTATTTTGGGTGACTTTCAGTACACTTTATTCCCAGATATTAATTCGGTAAAGAAGTGAAGTCTTCAAGAACAGTAATTTTGAGTTTTTAATTTATATCTAAACTATCACCATATTTGTATTTCTTGAAGAACATTTAAAATACCTAACATCCCACTCATAAATGACAGTGTATTTTGATGGATGAAATAGTGTAGATATATTAATGCCTCTGGGTTTGCACTGCCCACTAAGCGGTCTTCTTAGATTCAACTACACATGGATACTCACGAGGTTATCATAGGCCATACCAGTCTACTTATAAGGATATAGGAGAGGAGCTACAGCTTGCTAGCAGTAACATCCCAGGTCAAAGAGAGTGGATCTGCATCAGGCAGATGTGGGAATCACCCTGGCTTAGAAGTCTCATAGCCCATTGGAGTCAATACGTGGGTATACCTTCCAGGGTTCCTATAAAGGATGTGCTCACGTACAAGAGTCATTGTGCTTAGGAAAGCCAAAGCATAGTGTCCCTATCAGGTGTTGGTGGTTCTCCTAGTCCAGATGAAGTATGCTAATCAGGGTTATTTATTACCATAGGTAATGTTGCCTAGAGGACAGCATTTTGTAAATTAGAAATATGCTCTTATGGACTTTTTTTATTGATGTTGAATTTCAGCAAGATTTGTGTAAATAGTTAAGATTGAACTTAATTTCAATGCTTAGAAATAAAATTAAAAATAACTAATTTTGCTTTCTTTGTTAGTCCTTGCCTGACAAAGATGGGAAGAAATGCCTTTTTCTCATAAAATGTTTTGATAAAACCTTTGAAATCAGTGCCTCAGATAAGAAGAAGAAACAGGAGTGGATTCAGGGTAAGGCAATTTTTATTATTTGTCATGATATAACTTGAGAGCTCTGACTTTGTATTTTTAAATCTCATTTTAATCTCATGAGGCATTGTTCCCTCATTGTAGTTATTTCTACATGCAGCATAGTAACTGAAAGAAAAATAAAGTGAAAGGAAGTCCCAAATTTTTCATCAGTTTCATTTGCATAATGAACTTGTGGGAAAATTATAAACTATACATTTTAGGGTTTCTTTTTTTTACTTTTATTATTTAAAGATAATGGAATTTCCCATTTTAAGGACTATGAAGAATTTTAAAGTGATCATCATGAATTTTTAATAATACAGAAAACAGGAATAATACAGTCGCTTTTGAATATTTCTAATAATTTTCAAGATTTGTTATTTTCACAAGAAATCACTAGTTCCAAATAATTATCTCAAGAACACAAACTTTTGATTTAATAACTTTTTTAAAAGCTTATTTATTTATTTTCAGAGAGAGAGAGCACAAGTGGGAGATGGACAGAGAGAGAGAGAGAGAGAGGGAGAGGGAGAATCCCAAGCAGGCTCCATGCTGTCAGTGTGGAGCCGGACGTGGGGCTCGAACTCACAAACTGAGATTATGACCTGAGCTGAAACCAAGAGTTGGATGCTTAACTGACTGAGCCCCCCAGGCCTTCCAATGAGATTTTTTTTTTTTTTTAATCATGAAAAGGGATTCCGAATATGGTATTCTTGGACATAAGTAAGATACTGTTATGCTGAAAGTTGTGGTCATTTCGATGTGGTTTAAGAGTTTGAGGCAAGCGCACCTAGGTTTAAGTCCTCTTTCCTGGGTCACTTGAGTTAAGTTAGGAATTTTGTAGCTGTTTTTCCTCTTCTGTAGAATAGGGATAATAGTACCTACCTCTCAAGGTTTTTGTGAGGGCTAATAATTAGATAATGAAGATATACTTGCACATTAAAAATGTTTTTAGAATACTTATTTATTTTTGAGAGAGAGAGAGAGAGTGCGAGCGGAGGAGGGGCAGAGAGAGAGAGAGGGAGACACAGAATCTGAAGCAAGCTCCAGCCTCTGAGCTCTCAGCACAGAGCCCGACGTGGGGCTCGAACTTACAAACTGTGAGATCATGACCTGAGCTAAAGTGGGATGCTTAACCAACTGAGCCACCCACGTGCCCCTATACTTGCACATTTTAAAAAAGACACATCATTGCAGAAATGTTTGTGATAGATTGCAAACAGCCTAAGTATCCATTAATTGTGAAATGGTTGAATAAATTATGGTACAGTAACACAGTGGAGTTAGGTACATTATGTTTAATGTTTCATGTACTGATAATGGAAATCTCTCCAAGATAAATTAAGTGAAAAAAACCAAGGCTCAGAAGGGTGTATTATGTCAAAGGAAGGTGGAAGGTGTATATACCTCCTTATTTGCATATGCTTAAAATATCTCTGGAAAGATGCAGAAGAAATTGTTAACATTAGTTGGTAGTGGAGAGGGGAACCCAGTACTTGGGGATAAGAATAGGAGGGAGACTTTTCCTGTAGATCTTTTTATGCTTTTGAATTTGAACAATGTGAGAGTATTAGCTGTTCAAAAAATTAAATTTAAATAATTCAAACAATCAGGAAAATATGTAAAAATTAGATAATGCATATAAAAGGTATACATATAGCAACTATTCAATAACTGGTAGCTATTATTACCATCTCAGGAAGGGAGTGTATAAGGAGATGGTTTCATAAGGCATAGATAAGGGGCAGACTAAACCCAGCAGGTAGCAAGTCAGATATCAGGAACTAATAATCTCAACCCTAACTATGTCTTGTTCTTATTTGGCCTTTTGAGAAATAGAGAGAAGGGAATTAATTGAAAGTATTTGAAGTTCTTCAAATGTGTGTGATATTCCTGAATCAAGTATCTTTTTAAGCACAGATGTACAGTTACGTAATTTTAGAGCTGGAAGGGACTCTAGAAATCATCTCTTTCATTTTAGAGATGAGGAAACTGATTCTGCAGCAGGTTATGTGGCTTGCTCAAGGTCACACCATTTCTCAGTGGCAGAATCAGAATCTACACTGGGTCTCTGGTTTTCTTCCCAATGTGCCATGTTTATGTTAGGCTTACAAAGAATAAACAGTATATTCCGTTTTTTATCTTACACTTTTTATAGCCATTCACTCTACTATCCATCTGTTGAAGTTGGGCAGCCCCCCACCACATAAAGAAGCCCGCCAACGTCGGAAAGAACTCCGGAAGAAGCTGCTGGCTGAACAGGAGGAACTGGAGCGACAGATGAAGGAGCTCCAGACTGCCAACGAAAATAAGCAGCAGGAGCTGGAGACCGTGAGGAAGGTGGGAATGGGCTGAGGGAGGGCGCTCTGTTTCATTGCAGGAGCCACAGCTTCCTTACTTACAAGCTTTGGTCCTACCAAGACCAGGTTCATGAAATTTTAGAGAGATTTTTTTGTTAATTGTTTTCTTAGGAAGTGTGTCTAGGTTACTAAGTGAGATAATCTGGTTTTTCCAGCCTTGGAAGTATGAGGATCTCAGGTCAGCAAGACATTTCATTGACCAGAAGACAACAAGAATAATTGATGTTCATTGGGAAACCTTGTTGCTCAGTTATATCATGGTTCTGGGGTGGTAGTGGGTCCCCAGTGTATGGGCACTTGAGCCTGTCTGCCTTCCATCAGTGAACACCTGCTAACGACAAGATCAGAGACCCTTTTGTGTCCTCCTATGTAGCACCTATGCCCTGGAGTATGGGAGATGCTCACAGTATAAGCCCCCTCATTTCTGTTGGGGTTCTCCCTTTGCAGTCCATGGAAATGCCACACTTTGTGCTGATATCCTCTGAATAGACTCACAAAGAATTTTTTTAATACTTTTGGGGACTCCTGGGTGGCTCAGTCTGTTATGTGTCTGACTGTTAACAGTCTGGTAAGTGTCTGAACTCATGATCTTGTGGTTCATGAGTTCAAGCCCTATGTCAGGCTCTGTGCTGACAGCTCAGAGCTTGGAGCCTGCTTTGTATTCGGATTCTGTGTGTGTGTCTCTTTCTGCCCCTCCCCTGCTCACACTCTGTCTCTCTCTCAAAAATAAACAAACATTAAAAAAAAAATTTTTTTAAACCCTATTCAGTCACTCTGTCTTTTGATTGGAGAGTTTAGTGTATTTACATTAATTATTGATAGGTACTTGCTGCCATTTTGTTGATTGTTCTCTGGCTGTTTTTGTAGTTCTTCTCTGTTCCTTTTTTCTCTTGCTCTCCTCTTTTATGGTTTGATGACTTCTTTTAGTGCTATGTTTATATCCTTTCTCTTTATCTTTTGCATATTTAAAATAGGTTTTTGCCTTGTGATTACCATGAAGCTTACATATAACAACTTATATTTGTAACACTATTTTAAGTTGATAACTTAAGTTTGATCCCATTCTCAAGCTCAACATTTTTATTTTCCTCTCCCCAATATTTTATTTTTTTGTCTCATTTCACATTTTTTAATCTTGTTTGCTAACAAGTACGATACACTACATTATAAAAATGAAAGATAAAAATCATATGATCATCTCAATAGTTGCAGAAAAGCATTTGACAGATTCAACATTGACTTATGTTAAAAACTCTCAACAAAGCAGGTGTGGGGAGAATGTATCTCAAATAATAAATGCATACAAAGCCCATACCTAACATCATAAGCTTTTCCTCTAAGCTCAGGAATAAGAGAAAGACACCTACTCTCACCACTTTCATTCAGCATAGTATTTGAAGGCCTAGCCAGAGCAATTAGACAAGAAAAAGAAGAAAAGATCTGCAAATTGGAAAGTAAGAAGTAAAATTGTCACTATTTGCAGATGACATGATATTATATATAGAAAAAACTATTAACTCCATCAAAAAACTGTTAGAACTAATAAATTCAGTAAAGTTGTAGAATAAAAAATATGTAAAATTCTGTAACGTCTATACACATTAATAATGGACTATCAGAAAGAGAAATTAAGAAAACAATGCCAGTCCCCTGTTGATGAACATTTGGGTTATTTTTACTCTTTTGATTAAATAGGCAATGCTACAGGGAATTATTTTGTACCTGTATCATTTTATACACGTTCTAATAATTCAGTAAAACCTTGGTTTGTGAGCATAATTTGTTCCAGAAACATGCTTGTAATACAAAACACTTGTTTCTCAAAGTGATTTTCAAGAACCATTGACTCATTTATGATCATGTGATGTTCGGCATCACATACTACTTGTATTGCAAGACGTTGCTCATTTGTCAATAAATTTATTAGAAATGTTTGCTTGTGTTGCGGAACACTGCAGAACAAGTTACTCGCAATCCAAGGTTTTACTGTATGTGTTTAGAATAAATTCTCAGAAATGGGATTGCTGGAGCAGAGTATATACACTTACAATTATGAAATCCAGGCTGATGCAACAGCTACTATTTCAAATCTTACTAATCACTGTAACAGAGGAAAAAGTGTTCAAGGGTTTGGCAGTTAACTACCCCAGCTCAGAAGTGTCACTTCTGTTTACAGTACTTTGCCCAGAACTAGTTACGTGTTTTTGACGAGAAGTCATCTGTCAATTTTATTGATATTTTCTTGTGTGTGATGAATCATTTTTTTCCTGTTGCTTTCAGGATTTTCTTTTTTACTTTGTCTTTCTACAGTTTTATTATGATGGGTGTGGTGTATGTCTCTTTGTGTTTATCCTAGAATCTGTTGAATTCTTGGATGTGTCGGTTAATGTTTTCCATCAAATTGGGAAAGTTTTCGGCCATTATTTCTTTAAACATTTTTTCCTGTTCCTTTCTCTCTTCCCTCTTCTTTGGAAACTCTCATTATGTGAATGTTGGTACGCTTAATAGTGTCCCACATTTCTCTGAGGCTCTGTTCATTTTTCTTCATTCCTTTTTCTCTCTGTTCTTCAAATTGCATTTCTATCAATTGATCTTTGATTCTTCTTGCAGCCCAAATATGTAAGGTGAAAACATCTAGTGAAGTTTTCATTTTAGTTATCATGCTTTTCAACTCCAGAATTTCCAGTTGGTTATTTTTATACTTTATATCTTTTTGTTGGTAATCTCTATTTGATAGGGTATTGTTATTCCTTCTATTACTTCCTTAAGCTTGGTTTCCTTGAGTTCTTTGAACATAAAACTTTTATGAAATCTTTGCTAAATCCACCACCAGGGCCCCTTCTATTGCCCGCTTTTTTCCCTGGACATTTTATTTTATTATTATTTTTAATATTTATTTTAAAAAATTTATTTTTTAAGTTCCAGTATAATTAACATATAGTGTCATATTAGTTTCAAGTGTTTAGCGATTCAACAACAATTCCACACATTACTCAGTGCTCATCACAATGAGTGTACTCTTAATCCCTTCCACCTATTTCACCCATTCCCCCACCCACCTCCTCTCTGGTAACCATCAGTTTGTTCTCTATATTTAAGAGTCTTTTTTTCTCTCTTATTTCCATTGTTTTGTTTCTTAAATTTTTACATATAACTGAAATCATGTTATTAGTCTTTCTCTATTTTACCTACCATTGTACTAGATCCTCTAGATCCATCCACATTGCAAATGGCAAGATTTCATTCTTTTTCATGGCTGAGTACTATTCCATTGTGTGTGTATGTGTACATATACACATACCACTTCTTTATCTATTCATCTGTTGATGGGCATTTGGGTTGTTTCCATATCTTGCTATTGTAAATAATGCTGCAGTAAACAGAGATGTGCATATATATTTCTGACTTAGTGTTTTTGTATTCTTTGGGTAAATACCCAGTAGTGTGATTACTGGATCGCATGGTAATTCTGTGCTTAGGTTTCTGAGGAAGCTGCGTACTCTTTTCCAAAGTGGCTGCACCAGTTTGCATTCCCACCAACAGTGCACAAGGGTTCCTTTTCCTCCACATCCTTGCCAATACTTGTTTCTTGTGTTTTTTATTTTAACCATTCTGACAGGTGTGAAGTGATGTCTCATTTTGGTTTTGATTTCATTTCCCCGATGATGAGTGATGTTGAGCATCTTTTCATGTGTCTGTTAGCCATCTGTATGTTTTCATTGGAGAAATGTCTGTTCATGTCTTCTGCCCATTTTTAATTATTTGCTTTTTTTTTTTTGATGTTGTGTCAGTTCTTTATATATTTTGGATATGAGCCACTTATCAGATATATCATTTGCAACTATCTTCTCCCATTCAGTAGGCTCTCTTTTAGTTTTGTGGATTGTTTCCTGTGCTGTGCAGAAGCTTTCTATTTTGATGTAGTCCCAATAGTTTATTTTTGCTTTTGTTTCCCTTGCTTCAGGAGACGTATCTAGAAAAATGTTGCTATGACCAGTGTCAGAGAAATTACTGTCTGTGCCCTCTCTTCCACGATTTTTATGGTCTCAGGTCTCACATTTAGGTCTTTAATCTATTGTGTGTTTATTATTATGTTTGGTGTAAGAAAGTGGTCCAGTTTCATTCTTTGGCATATTGCTGTCCAGTTTTCCCAACACCATTTGTTGAAGAGACTGTCTTTTTCCCATTGCATATTCTTGCCTCCTTTGTTTTAGATTAATTGACCATATAATTGTGGGTTTATTTCTGGGTTTCCTGTTCTGTTTTGTTGATCTATGTGTCTGTTTTTAATGCCAATACCATACTGTTTTGATTACTACAGGTTTGTGTGGTATATCCTGAAATCTGGGATTGTGATACCTCCAGTTTTGTTCTTCTTTTTCAAACCACTTCTTTTGTGATTCCATACAAATTTTAGCATTATTCTTGTAGTATTGTGAAAAATGCTGTTGGAATTTTGATAGGGATTACATTAAATTTGTAGATTGTTTTGGGTGGTATGGACATTTTAAACAATATTTCTTCTTCCAACCCATGAGCATGAAATATCTTTCCATTTGGAAAACTGGACATTTTAGACAATATATTGTAGCAACTCTGGATATAGATTTCTCCCCTCGCCCTGGGGCCTGTTGTTGCTTATTCATTTGTCTCCTGCTTGGCTAGGCTGTTTCAATGAGGTCTGTTTCTTCACACTGTGAAGCCTCTGACTGTCTTCTTCATCAGAGGCACAGCCTTGGGCATGTACGAGATACCCTGAGGTGACCATGATGTTAAGGTTCTCTTTGTGTGTTTCTTTCTCTAATCTCTCTGTTAAGCTGTATGCCTCTGTTGCTATCCTATCTAGCTGTTAGAGCTCTATTGTTTTCAACAAGGGCTTGGGGCCTAACTTGCTCCACAGTCTGATATTTTTTAAATTCAAGCCCATATGTAGTCTTTGAGACTTATTCCTATTACATGAGGGCTCTTTACTTTCTGTAAATGGTTCTCTCTGTTAAACTTCCACCTGGTGTGTGGTTTACAGTTTGTTGGTCTCTTGGAGCTATGAGCCTCCTCTTAATTCCTTAAAATCTCCATTGTTTTCAAGAGCATCTTTAAGTTTGAACTTCCACACATCTGTTTTAAATAATGTCATTTCTTTTGGGGAGAGCTCCAGATCTCTGCCTAGGCAAACCTCTGTGCCAATGCTCTGGAGCTGGTGGCAGAAACTAGTGGTCTGCTTTTCTGGGTGCGATACCCCTGCTTTCTGAGCCCATCACCAGGTAGAGGTGGTACCCTCTGGTCTTCTAGGCTTGCCTCATTTTTTTGGATAAATCTTCTCCATTTGCTATATGCAATTGGTTTAATTTCTGGAGACTTTAAATGGTTGTTTTTCGGGGTTTTTTTGAAATTATTTTCACCAGTTATGGGTGTTTTGCTGGGAAATGGGTCCATGGAGCTCCTCACTGCCACCCTCTGGAAGTCAAGCTCTGGTAAAAGTTTTAAAGGAGTAACGTGTGAGATGACAAAACTATAGAAGGAACTGAAGAAATAGATGTTGAACCTCACGAATGCATTTGTAAGTGAATTGAACTCCATGACTATACAAAATTTTCTTTGCAAAATGTTGTTCAGACTTAACAAGTCATTCATTTACCTAATTCATTCTGTATGTTCACTGGGAAAATTGTTGGAATGGAATTCCAGTGGATCTAAAGGTTTTTATTCTAGCTTGATTGAACATTAAGAATGTTTTGCTTTTCCCATGTACTTAGGTGTGGCCATTTCTCTTTCCTAACACACTTCCACTCTAATACTTACTGCTTTTCTTTTTTTTTTTTTTTAATTTTTTTTTTTTTTAATGTTTATTTATTTTAGAGACAGAGAGACAGAGCACAAGCAGGGTCAGGGCAGAGCGAGAGAGAGACAGAATCTGAAACAGGCTCCAGGCTCTGAGCTGTCAGTGCAGAGCCCGACACAGGGCTTGAACTCACGAACCGTGAGATCATGACCTGAGCCGAAGCTGGACGCTCAACTGACTGAGCCACCCAGGTGCCCCTACTTACTGCTTTTCTGTGGGTGGGTTTTGATTGGATAGAAACTGGAAGAAGCAGCGTCTCGTGCAGCAGAAGAAGAAAAGAAACGCCTTCAGACTCAAGTGGAACTACAGGCGAGGTTCAGCACAGAGCTGGAGCGAGAGAAGCTTGTGAGTGCTACAGCTGGGAACCTGGGAACACTGCTGCATTAGCTCACAATGGTTCTTTCTGGGTGAAGGGGGAGGGGTCAAGGCCTGGGAGACTGGAGTGAGGCCATCTTGTCAGCTGGGCTATGCTATATAGACATGCAGTGGGCTATTGGGGGAAGTTCTGTGTTTGCTCATTATGGTTTTATTGAGCACCTTCTATGTGCTAGCCATCATGCCAGGATATAAAGGTAAAAGACATAAATCTTGCTTTTAGGACCCCAGAATAGAAATTCATGAATAGGGTGATAACTACTGTGATTAGGGTGACTGTATCTCTTGGTTTGCCTGGGACAGTCCTTGCCATCCTGATATAATTATTAACAGCATCCTATTTTCCTTCTCAAAAAGGCCTGGCTTGGAAAATAAATAGCTAGGGGGAAAAGTAAGCATGGGTTTCATGACCTTTCTCTTCTGTAATGAGCAAAGTGGGGGTGGAGTGGGGTTCTGAAATCATGAGAATATAGGAATTCTGGTCTGCTGCTCTTGGCAGCTCTGATTCATCTTAGAGGTGCCCATCCCCCAAGACATCCAAGAGTCAGGTTGCCCTAGGTGGTTAGATAGTTAGAACACAGGTCTTCTTACACAGAGTTGTAATTTGTGGGAGGGTACTGAGTCCAGTGCCCATTAAATAGCTGCTCATGATGTTTTTTTAAGTAACTTTTTGTTGCTTAGAGTTGAAACAGACATGTTTGTTTTATGAGAGAAAGTGCACAAGCGGGGCAGATGTGATACGAAGGAGTTGCTGTGTGCACAGCCAGAACATCTGGGTTTTTTTCCTCTCTGCTCCTTCTTCTGAGCATTAGTTTTCTCTTCTTTAAATTGGAGGCATTGTCATGTGATCTGTCATGACTCTTAGGATGATGTGAGCAAGTGTGAATATTTTATAAACCGCAGACACATACACTAATGTGTGTGCTATTACATTTGGATGTCCTTGTCTTTCAATTTTTAAGGCAGAGATTCAAAACTTTAATACAGAAGGGAGAAACCATTGAGTTGTTAGGGCACTAGCGTAGCTGCGTGAGGCCCCCCAGGACTGGAGGTGCCCTAGGGCAGGAGTGGAGGGGCCTCAAGGCAGCCAGGGAAGCACCAAGGACTCTGCAGGTCTGTCTTTCCTTTCCCCTTTATTGTAACCCTTGGGCTCTTCTGACTGGACAGAGGTTCATTCCTTTTAGAGAAGATTGTGGGTAAAGAGGTTGTGGCTTTATAACAAAAAGGAATTTAAGGAGAAATTATACAGGGGAATGATTTTTTTCTTGACTCTTGAATCTTAACGTGTAGAGTGGAAGGGATAGAAACTCAGAGAGGGCAGGAACACAGCATCTGGGGTGTACTTTGCGTCCTGGACTTGGGGTGTGTGTCCTGGACTTGGGTCTTAGTGTTGGTACTGGGTGTGGTGCCCTCCTTCCTCCATCTTCAGTTCCAGGAGCGGAGGACAGGGCCCTGCCCACCCTGCCGAGCTGCAAGGTAGGCTGTGGTGTTAGGAGTGGGAGAGTTTTCCTGAGGGTGAAGTTAACCTGAGTTTAAACATGACCCTTTTATATCATCAGATCAGACAGCAGATGGAAGAACAGGTTGCTCAGAAGTCCTCTGAACTGGAACAGTATTTGCAGCGAGTACAGGAGCTGGAAGACATGTACCTAAAGCTGCAGGAGGCTCTCGAGGATGAGAGACAGGCCCGGCAAGATGAAGAGACTGTGCGGAAGCTTCAGGCCAGGTGCCAGATCAGTTTGTATACTGTGCCTTTATGTACTTTTCTAGGAATTTCTAGGAATGACTAACGTTCTGGTGAAGAGGGAGGAGTGTCTCTGCTATTTTGGAGAGACCTTGGAGGCTGGGCGGGTTGAGTTGTTTATTCTCCATCTATGGCACTGGAAAGCCCTTGCTTCTGGGGCTATCGACAGGCCTTCTGTCTATTTTAGAGCAGTCTGGTGGATCTGTTTGGTGAGAATGTCCATGTCTAGAATGAGAATGTCCATGGACCCAGGAGCAGCTCTGGTGAGAACCTTCCTCAACATGTTCCAGACCAGAGACGGCCACTGTGTGGAGGCCTGTTTCAGGCCAGAGTTACATCTACTTTCGAGGGATAATGAGGAATTAAGCAGTTTCCATCTGGTCATTCAGGATTGGTGACATTCCTTAAATAATTATTACTTGAAACCTTAGTTTTAGAAGTTTCTTATTTTGGTAAGCTCTGTGCCCAATACAGAGCTTGAACTCATGACCCTGAGATCAAGAATCCCACACTCTACTGACTGAACCAGCCAGGCACCTCAGTTTTAGAAGTTCTTGAAAGCTAGATTCTTCTCTTCCTCAGAGCTTTAAAAGTCAGGTTTATTATTTATGATAGTCATGATCTCAGGTGAGAACTCTCAATTTGTGGTCTTCATGGCAGCAGGGAGGACAAAGTAGAATAAAGACCCCAAAGGGAAAATTTGAGCTATCTTCTTCCAGTTTCTAACTTGTTTCCCCATTTGCTTTCTTTAAGATGTCTTGTCAGGGGATGTCTATTATGGTTCTTAATTTTAATGTGATGATGGATGGAGGGTCCCCCCCACTCCCAACCCCCACAACATTAGCATGGTGTCTGAGAATTCATCTCAATTCTGAGTGGGTCTCGAACCCACAAACTGTGAGATCACGACCTGAGCTGAAGTTGGATGCTCAACCCACTGAGCCACCCAGACTCCTCAAGTCTTTTTTTTTGTTTATTTTGAGAGAGAGAGAGAGAAAGTGAGAAAGCGAGTGAGGGAGGGGTGGAGACAGAGGGAGAGAAAGCTCTGTACTGTCAGTGCAGAGTCCAATGCGGGGCTCGAACTCATGAACCGTGAGGTCACTACCTGAGCAGAAATCAAGAGTCGGATGCTTAACCAACTGAGCCATCCAGGCGCCCCTGTTCTAGAAATTTATTAAAGTATTATTTTGAGTTTGTAGAATGAGTGACGTTTTGAGTGAGAGACAATTTTGGGTCATTGAAGCTAGTATAGTAGTTTTTAATCAGTGTCCTGGATTTGTTGAATCAAATTATCTTTGGATAGGAGCCAGGCATGGGTATTGTTATTTAAAAAGCTTGGGCTAATTGTATAATCTGATTTAAGTAAATTGCAAAATGGTTTCAACCTTTGGAATACAAATATAACCAATACATGCATCTCTGCTCCAGTAAGTTGAAATTAGAGAACTTGGTGTGCAAAGGCCATTTTGTGAATTTTACTAAATTTACTGAATTCTGAATTTGTTTTTCATCTTAGTTTTTGGAACTTGAGATGAATAAAATTTGGTCATTTTTAGGTGAGGTGGATTTGCCTCTTTCCTGAAGTCACAGAAGCTGGACCTAATTCACAGGGACATTTTGTCAGATTGTCAGAGGGGGCTTTTCTTCTTGCTCCCACTCCTCTGGGTAGGCCTTCCTGGGTTGAAAATCAAAGGAAAGCATCATGGAGCCGAGTAATACATTTATGTCTAGCACTGCTGAACTGAATCATAATCTTAGGTTGAGGGTGTTTGTAGAGGGCTTTTTAGTTAACTTTCCTGACCTTTCTTTAAGCAATAGCAAGTCATTCTCAGAATATTTGGTATCTCATTGTTCTTCTAGAAGATAGTCATTTCTCTGTCAGTGTTTGAAGTTTCCTCAGAGATATGTTTTGTAGTAAATTGTTTAAATACAAGAACTTTGACTTAAGCCATCTAGGGCACATGATTTTTTTTTTAAGTTTATTATTTATTTTGAGAGACAGGCAGAGAGAGAGAGGAAGAGAGAGAATCCCAAGCAGGCTCTGTGCTGTCTGTGCAGAGCCTGATGTGGGGCTCTATCCCACAAACTGTGATAACATGACCTGAGCTGAGATCAAGAGTTAGACGCTTAACTACACTGAGCCATCCAGGCACCCCGTATATATATATTTTAATTAAATTGTAGCTGTTGTTGTTATTTTGATGTGTAATATTGAAGGTTGTCTAGAGTCTTCTAAATGGGACCTCGGAAGAAAACTGTTTAATATTTGGACAACTCAATTATTGGAAAGTTCTTGAGGCTTAGCCATAATCTGTCCCATTATAACTTTTACCCACTACATTTTTAGATCTGTTAAGTTATGTCTGTATTCCCAGCAACTAATGCAGTGCCTGGCACATAGTGAGAGATCAAGGGATATTTTTTGAATGAATGAATGAATGAATGAATGAATCCAAGTTCTACTAATAGAGGCTACTCTTCTATGTGATACTACTTTTTCATATATTTGAAAGCAATTAGGGACCAAGCTGTGGAGTGAGGTCTGAGTTTGATTCTTAGTTCTGGTACTTTCTAGCTGTAATTTTTGAAAAGTCACTTCACCACTTTGAGCCTTCAGTTCCTTATCTATAGAATTATGGATAGTTGCCTACCTTGCAGGGTTGTTGTGAAGATTAGAGGAGGAACTGCATGCACAGTATTTAGTGTAATGTCTGGTATTTGGTAGTTACTCAGTGTGTTGGTTTCTGTTCCTTTATTTACTTTGCAGATGAGGAAGATGTATAATGTATAGAATGTCAAAAGCATTCAAAAAGATCTATTGACAGGCTGGACTGATGGTTTTAGACCAAGGAGATAGTTGAAAAAAAATTTTTTTAATGTTTATTTTATTTTTGGGAGCGAGACAGAGTGTGAGCAGGGGAAGGGCAGAGAGAGAGGGAGACACAGAATCCAAAGCAGGCTCCAGGCTCTGAGCTGTCAGCACAGAGCTCAACGCAGGGCTCGAACTCATGAACTGGGAGATAATGACCTGAGCCGAAGTCGGATGCTTAACCAACTGAGCCACCCAGGTGCCCCAGGAGATAGCTTTAAAGTAACAACAGGAGTCTTGGATCCAGGAGACTTTGAGAAGATTCATGGTATTACTTTCCTGGGATACGATTGCCAAAAACCCCATACACTCTCAGGTAGTGTTAGTGAATACGAGGTATTCGGAGCAAATGAGGTATCAGTACTACTATAATAACACAAGCTGATATTTATCCAGCACCTAGATGTGGTCCGCACAGTTCTAGGTACCTTACATGCACTATCACAACTGATGCATCCACAAACCTTTGATGGTGGATATAGTTTCTATCCCTTTTTTATAAATGAGGAAACGGAGGGACAGAGTAGTTAGTCTTTGTTCAGGGGTCTTATTTGGAAACCACAGAAACGAACTGGGGTTTCCTAGAGCAATAAAATAGTTAATTGAAAGCTTCTTGAATAGTTCACCAATTCCAAAGAAAGGCAGGTGGCCAGGCGTGAACACAGGCATGGACCAAGGGAAGCTGAGCAGCCCAAACCACAGCCCAAACCAGGCCAAGGGGAGAGTCCACCCAGGATGCCGCTGATGTCAGCATTGGCACTGTGTGTTGGGAGTCACCATTGCTTCTGCTGTCATGCAACACGGGCTGTTGCTGCCACCGGCAAGATAAATTCTCCACTATCTCTGCTTTGCATCAGTTGCTTCAGGGTCGGAGCTCCAGGAAGGGCATCTGCTTAGCCAAGCCCAGCTCGGGCTTCCACTGTGCCCTGGCTGCCACAGGGCAGGAGGGCAGGGGTTGGGCCTGTGGCTTATGTAGTGGGAGGTGGGCCCTACTTCCCATCAAGATGCCTCCTGTGGCAGATTCCTTGGACACATGGAGGGGATTCCGACTGGGCAGCCTGAACACCTGCAAATGTCCATTCCCCGTTCATACTCTCACCCCTAGGATGAAGAAACAGGCCTTTCCAGTCTTGTTCACTGTTGTATCCCCAGTGTCTAGAAAAGCACACAAAGGTGCACAATGTACACACACTGAGTGAGTGAAAAAACACTGGCCAGACCACATTTGCAGTGTTGTGTTCAGTTGTGGGTATCACACTCCAGGAGACATCTAAGGAGGGAGTGGATGGTCCTGTGTAGAACTAGGGATAGTGGGTGGGAAAGCTCTTCCTAGTTGAGGTGGAACTTTCGAAGGATTGAGGGTGCCTGTTTGTGAACCCACTGTGAACTCGCCTGATTCCTGAAGCAGTGAGTGGCCCATCCCACAGAGTATTTGAGCACAGTAGGATAACCATGTTGCAGGATGTTGTAGAGGGAATTCTTCAGTGGTGGGGGCCAGGGGTGGAGGAGTTGGGAGTGGTGATATAAGGGGTGTCTATTCTGTTACTTTATGGCTTCAGTCATTGGTTTTAGAAGAGCATACTGATGGTCAAGCCACTAGAGATGTGTCCTGTCCTGGGCTGGCATCTAAGTACATTGTCTATACTTTGGGTATAGGTTTGGGCTGTATGTTAGTTTTATTTAAATGCCTGTGTAGCTGGATATTCTTAGATAGGTAGCCTGTTATTCAAGATAACATTTTAGAGTCACACAAACCTTGGTTAAAATTCACTACTACCGGGGTGCCTGGGTGGCTCATTTGGTTAAGTGTCCGACTTCGGCTCAGGTCATGCTTTCGTGGTTCATGGGTTTGAGCCCTGCATCGGGCTCTGTGCTGTCAGCTGGGAGCCTGGAGTCTGCTTCAGATTCTGTGTCTCCTCTCTCTCTGCCTCTCCCCTGCTCATGCTCTGTCTCTCTGTCTCTCAACAATAAATAAATATTAAAAAAAAAATTCACCACTACCTGTGCGACATACTTTTAAATACCCTGAATTTTTATTGCTTCATCTGGAGGGATGATAAATACCTTGCAGAATTGATGGGGGGTTAGCAATAATGAAGTCAGGTATCTGACATGTAGTAATTGTTCAGTAAGTGGTATCTGTTTTATTCTGCCTTTTGTTGGCTCCTTTCCCCCTCATTTTCATTATCATTAGTTTGTTACCTTTTTCCTTGGTAGTATGTTTGTACTAGATGAGAAATGTTTTTAATTTTAATTTTTTTTTTCATTTATTTATTTTTGAAGAGACAGAGTGAGACAGAGCGCGAGCAGGGGAGGGGCCGAGAGAAGCAGACACAGAATCTGAAGCAGCCTCCGGGCTCTGAGCAAGTGGTCAGCACAGAGCCCGACACAGGGCTCGAACCCACGTACCGTGAGATCATGACCTGAGCCGAAGTCAGACGCTCAACCGACTGAGCCACCCAGGCACCCCCAGATGAGAAATATTTTAATGTTGTAGCAATCAGGCAAATTTCAAAACTTGGCCCTATCACCTGCCAGTCAAATGATGTGGTACAGGTCATTAAACTTTTGTGTCTCACTTTCTTCATCGTTGAAGTGTGAATGTTGATAGCACTTAAGTTTACTGTGAGGATTGATTGGGAAAATACACTTAGCTCTTGGCCCAGTTGTGGCACATTAAACCTTTCATAAATGTCATTTTATTTTATTTTATTTTTTCAAAAAAGGGTGAAACAGAGAGGAGCAGGGCAGGACACGTGGGGCACCTTGCCAGCGCTGTGAATAAGGGCCTCTGTGGCCCCTAGTTTCCAACTTGCAAAATGAGGGAGGTGGATTAGATGACATCAGGTCTTGTCTGCTGCTCTCGGTGGCTCCGTCATCTGCTGGGTCGGGCATGGAAGCCTGGGCAGGTTTGGTCCTGAGCTCCCCACCTTGCAGGTTGCTGGAGGAAGAGTCTTCCAAGAGGGCTGAACTGGAAAAGTGGCACCTGGAGCAGCAGCAGGCCATTCAGACAACTGAAGCGGAGAAACAGGAGCTGGAGAATCAGCGTGTCCTGAAAGAGCGGGCCCTTCAGGAAGCCATGGAACAGCTGGAGCAACTTGAGCTAGAGCGGAAACAAGCGCTTGAGCAGTATGAGGTAATCCAACTGATCCCTGCAAACGCCCATGTAAAATTTTAAAAACAAACATTTAAGCACCTGAAACTAACGTAACATTGTTTGTTAACTGGAATTAAAATCAAAACTTAAAAAAACATTTAGAAATAACAGTATTTGCTTAGCTGTAAGAAGTAGTTTTTACAGGTGGTGAGGTGTATCAGGTAAAGTCCAGTCAAGAGGCACACAGTAATTTGAACAGGGAAAGTTTAATATAAACAATTATTAACTATAACAGGGGATTACCTACGAAGCAGTAAAGAAGACTCTACGAATACAGGAATGGCACGTACATGAAGCAGCCCCTGCCTCTGAGACTGAGGCAGAGCACCCAGGAAGGGAACACATCTGCTCTTCGCCCCTTCTGCGCATTGCTGTGATATAGACCTTGGAGAGGGCATGGCCTTGGCCCCACAGACAGCAGAAAAGCCGTGACTGGGAAGCTGTCCTCTGGGGACTGGGGGAAGCAGCCCACAGGGCAATGACACTAAAATCCACTGGCGTGAGCACTGTGGATGCCCCACATGTCACAGGAGCTGCTGAGAAGAGCACAGTGGGACCTGGGAGCAGAGCCCCTTCTTCCAGTGACCCTTCAGTGCCCTTTACTGACAAAACTGAAGTCGTGCCAGCTGGTGAGGAGAGTCACCCTGGTGTCATGTGCAGGACAGAGGAGGCTGGATTTGGGGCCGAGGGTGGTGAGCCGTAATGCGTACACAAGGATCTTACACATTCATGTGTAGCTGTGTCATTAGGTCCTTTGGGTGACCTTGGGCACGTTACCCAAGCTCTCTGCATCCTGGTTTCCACATCTGTAAAATGGGGGTGATTAATAGTTCTTGCCTCTTCGAGTGGCTGGATTTCATGGGATAATCCACAAGAACAGAGTAAGTGCCCAAGCATTTTTATTTGGTCTTAAACTGCCTGTGTGTTTGCATAGTTTAACATCTACCTTTGTTTCAGGGAGTTAAGAAGAAGCTGGAGATGGCAACTAGTAAGACCAAGAGCTGGAAGGACAAAGTGGCCCAGCATGAAGGATTAATTCGATTGATAGAGCCAGGTAACACGCTCTTTGAAGTAGTAAGATATTTATCCAATTTATTCTTGTTTTATTTGTGTGTTTAAATTGTGCTAAAAATCCTCTTGAGCCCAAATATACAGAAATCACACTGTTTAGGGCCCATTTCTCTTGAATAACTTGCTCTGTACTAGATAAGAAGGCTCAGTTGATTCCCTTGCATACATCTTCTAGTTGTTTTGGCTGGTGTGACATTTATGGATATTCCTCAGAGAAGAAATCAAATAGAAAGTTACTATTTTATCTGGAAAAATGGTAATGTTCATTGAAGAATGTGAAGAATATTTAATGTGTGTTTGTTCCTTAGGTTCAAAAAACCCTCACCTGATCACTAACTGGGGCCCCGCAGCTTTCACCCAGGCAGAACTGGAAGAGAGAGAGAAGAACTGGAAAGGAAAGAAGAACACAGAGTGACCAAGTGACCCGAGCGATGAGCTGGCAGGAGTCCTGTCCATTGTGCAGATTCCGGGTGTAGCTGGAAAGCTTGATGCTAAAGACAAAGGAACTGGCTTTGCTGCTTCTAACCATTCTTTCTTCAGTGCCTTCTATCAGGCCAATATACTAAGGAAGCCTTCTTATTTATCTTCCTGAAAATAAGGGCTTACCTGAAAAAAAAAAAAAAAGTCAACACTATCAAGCTTTTTATTTACTCTTTGAAAACTTTAGCTTCTGAAAATTCCCTTTAGCTCTCTCAGGTCCTTGTGGGATTGAGGCAGCATGCAAGCCGTGCTGTGGCCGCCATCAGCTGCCGATGTGGAGGTGCATGGGGGTGTGGGGTCAGGATTACTGGATAATCAGAACCTGAGTGACTGGGGTCATTCCTTTCCTGTGGCAGCATGTTTCCTTCTTTGAGTGCATGGCCAGTCTGCTTGCCTTGGCATGCTGGTTGCCATGGATACTTTTGACCAGCTGCTCCCACAGAGCGGTCCCTGGCAACGTGTGGATCTTGCCTCCGCTAAGAGGGCGCAGTCCATGGGTGCAGTTGTGCAGAAGTTTCTGCTGAATGCAGTGCTGCTGAGTTACTTCCTGGCTTCAGTGGCACTAAGCTCAAGGAGGCAAACACCTTATTAAAGAGGCTTTGGCTAAGATAGATACTTAGGAATCAGCACAGAGATGAACTCAGTAAATCCCATTTGGAATGATAATTTGATACTAACTGAATTCTTCCTAATGTTTAAAAAGGTTTTAAGGGTCAACGTGCTGCCAGACCCCTTGCTTTTTCTTTTGTAGTTACTGTACAGAAAACTTCAGGAGTATATGGAAGTTTGTCATGATTAGGCCTTTTCCTTGATAAATATGGATATGATCATTTATAGGAATTATACATGAAAAAAGTTTTAAGAATGTATTTTTATGATGTCCTATGTTGAGAGGGAACAAATATTTATAATTTTCAAACATTCTTACCTAAATGTTGTACAATGTAATATGCTGAACTTTAATTTTTTTGCTAATTTTCTAAGATATATTAAAAATGTTTTGTATGTTTGTTTTTTTTCTAGTAAAATGGACTGAGTAAGAAAATAAAAATACCAGAACAGCATGCATTTTAAACTGTCTGATTTAATAGAACAGTAGGGTACATTTGTGTATTTTCATATAACGAGATGGACTTGAGTTTAGGGATGCTTCCTGCAAACACAGTTTGGAGCTTGGACCCCCAAACCAGTGCTGTGATGACGTTAGCTATGGCTTTGTGTTTGGTGCTTGAGTCACTCATGTGGGAAACCATGACAGATGTGTGCATTCACAGATGGGAATTTACGATGATGATTTCTCCCTCATTGTTGCTGTTACCTCTGAATCCTGTTAACTCTGCTTTCCCGAATTTTCTTTTTATGCCTTTTAGTTTTTGTTTCAGTTTTACCAAACAGTGTGGTTTTTTGTTTTGGTCTCACATGGTTGCCAAGATTAAAATACCTAGGGTGGACTAAGGTGACCCATGCTCTTTCCCTTCTAGAGGGAGACAGCACACTGGCTGGTGTTTTTAAACATCTTTCTGTACTGTAGTGGTTCTCAACAGGGGACGATTTTGCCCACCAGGGGACATTTGGCAATATCTGATCACATTTTTGTTGTTACAACTGAGAGTGCTACTGGCATCTAGTGGGTAGAGGCCAGAGATGCTGCCGAACATCTTACAATTCATGGGACAGTTCCCTGTAACCAAGAGTCATCTGGACAGAGATGTCTGTAGTGTCAAGGTTAAGAAAACCTGCTCAGGAAAGGCAAATTCTGTTGTCCAGAACACAATAGTAGGGGTCAGGGTTTCCCCTTACGGAGTCTCAGGAGTTGACCTCTTTGGTAGAAATGGGAGGGAAAGAGGCCGCTTACTCTGTGAACTGGCGGAGAGCGGAGGGCAGGAGCTTTGGCACAGCCTATGTGGGGGCGCTGTGCTTCAGAAATTACAAATTTGCATTTTTAAACACAGATCTAAAGGGAATTGCTTTGAATGTGTTTTAAAGTTTTTGTGAGGCAGGTTGCTGAAGTGTGAAATAGGAAGATTGTCACAACCTTGATTTTCTTTTCACAAGAGGGAGGGTCCATCAGAACCATTCAGCGGCTGCTAAGAAATGAGCATTCAGATCTACTGCCCAGCTGGTGTCACACCTTGTACTGGTGCCTGTTCCACTTGGCAGAGTCTCTTGTACCTTCAGAGGAGTGTCAGCAAAGCACAGCTGCCTCATGGAGCGAGGATCAGGTTAACATGAGGCCATGTGGACGTGAGGAAGAGGCACTGCCCAGCTTTCACCAGTTCATAGTAGGTGCTCAAAATTTATTGAAAGGGTCAGTCTTGGGAATAGTTTAAGGAATAGGTCTCTTTTTTCTTCCCTTGTATTAACTTATTTGTATAGTCATTTTGAGACCCGTTAAAAGTCACGTCTCAACTTTGGGAAGCTGTTTGGTGAGATCTACTAAGCTAAAGACAATGTGTGCACAGCAGTTCCAGCCCCAGGAGAAAAGAGGCACGTTGTCCACCAAGACCCTACAAGGAGGTTCGTTCACAGCAGCTTTGCTTAGGATGGCCCCAAACGAGAAACAACCCAAATGCTCATAAGCAGGGAGTAGATTGATGAACTGTGATATAGTCAAAGGATATTACATTTTAATTAGAACACATCACTGAGAGATGCAACAACATGAATGAATCTCACAGACATCATGTTGAACAAAGAAACCAGAGAACGGTCTGTGTAATTATATTAATTTCCAGAACTGGCAAAGGTAATGTGTGGATTTCCAAGCCAGAATTATAGTGATCTAGGTAGGGGTGGTTGTTGATTGCAAAATACCATCATAAGGGATGCTGGAAATGGGAAGCTGTTATATAAGTAAAATGTATCAACTTGTACAGATAGTAACTGTAGTGCCTCTAGAACGCTAGAATTGGCTGGTCCCCAGAGGTCAGTGGGTCTAAACCCCTCACTTTGCAGAGAAGGACCTGGAAGGGGAGGAGTCAAATCCACACTGAATGCCTCTCTTCTAGGATGCAGTTCTTTACACCCCCTGCCTCCTCTTTACATTTGTACATCAATCATGTTTATCTCAATGTGCTTCTGTCATCCATCGCCCGGCCAAACTGCATGTCCGGGCTTCACCTTTCTATGGAGGGAGGGCCCTGACCACTCTTGTCCTATGGTCAGCTTCTGTTGGCGTGAGGTTGCTGAGTCTTTGGCCCTGTGCAGAGGCTAAGCTGTGGTGGACGCTGAGTTCCAACCAGGGCTAGCCTCAGATTCCTCTTCCATCCCCACCACTCAGATGCTGCACACTGTTTCTTAGGGTCATCTGCCCACAGGAATGCAGGCCTCCCTCCCTGTTTATGTCCACCTCCTCAAGAGCAGTCCACAGAGCCCGGCTGAGAGCCAGCAAGGTGTGAAGAGTAGGGAGAGGCAAGTTTGTCTAGCAGTCCCTGAGGCTAGCAGCTGACCCTTCCTTCCCATCTGAACCCCTCATTTCCTGTCCCATGTCACCCTGCCTCTTCCCCTCGGCCGACACTGCTTGGAATGGCCACCCACACTAGGTCTTTGAGAGCAGGCCTCCCTGGACTGCACTTCGTGTGTTTTTCCCCACTCTGATCTCAGGTGCTCTGCTCTCTTGATGGGCCATCCTGGGCCAGCTCCCTGGGAAGATGCACTGTGAACCCACAGGCTAGTTTTGAGGGTGCTGGGACTGCTGTCACCTCCACACTCATCTGTAGCTTTGCTACCCTCAGAAGCCAGGCCCAGCCCTCTCCTCCTGTTTGAGAAGAGGAAGCAGCACCACTGTCCAGTGCTGCCAAACTGGGCTCTCTGTTCCCATTTGTGTCTGAAATATTTGTTTGCCAGGAACACACAGGGAATCCAAAAAAGTGTGTAGAAGCGGAAGCTTTCATCCCTGTGTCCCAAGGCCCCGTACTCCCCACAGCAGTTAGCTGTAAGACGGCTAAAGGGACAGGATGGATGAGTTCTTTCTAGAGTGGCTGCCCTCGGTCTGAGATTACAAGTAGTCAGGGCTTGGCCTCCAAAAGTACTGGAAAGAGGCTGGATTTCAGAGTGACAACAGACCTGGGTTCTACTCATGGTTCTACCTTACTGTGTCACTTTTGAGTTAGATTCTGTATTCTCAGAGGGAGTCCTGCACAGGTAATATGTCCTTCTGAGGGTGTCATATCTGGAGGCACATGATATTCATCTGTCCTTAACTGGTGAGAGAATAAGGACCTGCTCAGATTTCTTCACATCACAGAGACGTACTGTTCTCCTGACCCCCACCCCCCGCTGTCCCGCCTGACGTTATTTCATCCTAGTGCAGTTTCCGAAGTCATGTGATGAGGGGCTTTCCATCTTGGCTGGGCCAGGACACATAATGGGGATTTTGCTGGAGAACTGGCAAGTTCTGAGAAAATTCCGCAGGTGACTGAGGTAGGTGATCATGCAGAGCTACTGGAGAGTCTGGGGACATCTTGAGTGCTCTGCATTTTCCATGGTCAGGTGTCACTTCTGAAGTGTCCTGCAAAGGCAGGTGCTTGGCAGATGTTTGAAAGGCTGAGGTCCTAGGCAAGGGCTCCTGTCCGTGAAGACCCCCCACTTCCCAGACGTACCAGCCCTCTGGAGGGCTGCAGCTAGGCTTGGAAGTGGATCTAAAGGGCCTGGGACTGCCACCTCCCAGGGCCCCCAGGACCCCCAGCCTCTGCTTTCCCCTCTGGGATCTTGTGGAAGCCAGAGCTGTTCTCCACACTCTTCCCAGGGCCTCACCCAGGAGCTACCCCTTACACTACTTCTGATGTTTTTGCTGATTCTGTCTCAATGCCTGTGGGGTGAGGCTTCCCACTGCACTCCTGCTCTTTCTTAGAGATGAGCCCAAAGCCCCTTCAGGGCAGGATGCCCCCCTCATGGCTGTATTGCCAGCACATGGCACCTAGTAGCTCCTTAGTAAAGGCTGGCTTTTTAATGACTACTTTTGGGAAGACATCCTTGTCCTCAATTATGTCCTGGATGTAGTCCCCTGGGCTCAGAGGAGACAACAGTGACTGACCTGCAAACAACTCT